CCGTAGGCTGATTAAAATCCGGATTTACCTATAAACAATCATTTCCACATTTATTCATCTGTGCTATAGGTCCGTGGCCTTCTTTCTTGATTGCACGTCTTATATCCTTACAATTTCTGTCTTGTTGCGGTACTTTCATCCCGTCTATTTCGTACAATAGTCCCACGTGGTCTTCCCCGTACCCTGAGACAGTTTAGCGGGCTCTTCACTGCATAATTTCAGCAGAACTATCATACTCTCTGATTGTGGGTTCCTGCAGTCGCATTACCACTTTCAACTCACAAAGAGTTCTTTTCAGTACCGATTCTCACTTCCTCATCTTTAATTTAAGCAGTCTAAAAGCGTTTATGACACTTTGGGTTGAAATCCATCAGTCACATCGGCAAAACTGCGTCCTGTTCATAAACTGCTAACTGGTAGCCAGTAGTATATAAACAAGAAATTAAAAGTAGCAATTTCTGAACTGGAGTATTCCCCAGAAGCCATCCGGGGAACGCTGGGATGGGAATTTCTCAGAAACAAAACTATCGTTGGTTTTAGTTTGATTAGGTGGTGCACGGAGACCCAGAGCCTTCACGTCATGCCTTTTAACCAATCATGCGATCACCTGTGTGGTTCAAATGCAAAGGTGCAGGAACACTTCAACGCTGAACCAACTGTTCCACTTACCTTTGAGTTATTTCACCTGGGTTATAATTTCATCTTGATTTTAACATTTATTTACCATAGCTTTCAGTTTATTTTGAGCTCATCCATATTAAATGGCTTCCAAAAGAGCGTCTATGTTATTTTTTCCCCCAGATGCACCAGGCCTTATCGACGCTTTCAACGTAGACTGCACTCAAACGAAAATCCAAGGCGCCTTTGAGGAGTACTTACGCTATCAACTGCCCCACCAAAGCCCCCTTCGTTTCGGTCACATCCTTCTTCGACTTCACGGACTGCGACGGGTCAGCAAGGAGGTTTATGAGGAACTTTTATTGCCTGCGAAACTACGAAGAGCGTCTATTGATACTTTTTTGGAGACGATACTTCGCAATGAACTTCCTAGTCTTCACGTGAATGAAAAGAGCCCAGACTTTCCCTACTCCACTGCCATCAAAGGCATAAATCCTCATGTTCAACTATCTGTGTCAAGGGTTCCGCCTTTATCCGGTGTGGAAGTAGGATGTTTGCCGATGTTTGCTGAGAGGAATCCAGTTACGACCTCCCTTGCGCAGGATCCAAATGGTGATTCCGACCAACTGGGTTATATGCGAACATACCTGAACCCACCGCCCTCTCTAACCAAGTCACCATTGCTGGCTAGAGCAGCCGTCCCAACAAGTCGACCAGGCAGTGGCCTCGACAGCGCTGACCACAGGGACCAGTTGAGAGAGCATATTCGCCGGTTTATGGATCAGAACTTACCGTCGCCATTTGCAGATTTTTCAACCTACCTGCGATCTCTGTCCTTCGAGCGAGACTTGCCGAATTTCCACAGACCTCCAACGGAAGACAGCAGCAGTGGTAGTCAGCAGTGGTATCTCACAGAGAGGTGCCGAATGGCGGCTACCGGAACGTCCAACACGTTGCTTGCCGGTGGCAAGCTGACGCCAGATTCATGTATTGCAGCTGCCGCTGCCGCGTACACCCACTCGGTGAGCAGTCTGATCGGCTGCGGCCCTTCCGGACCAAAGGCGCAGATGGTGTCCAGAACGGAGCCCAAGAGGTCCTAGGAGGCTTGCTAGGAGAACCTACTTCGTCTCCGAGACCTGTAGTTATATTAATGCAGACGCACATA